CTTACCTACATATGTACATTATTTTCAGGGAAAGCAATACTACGCAGAATGAAATAGAAATGGAGAAATTTAACTTAGCAGATAAGAAAAAGGAAGGGATTGTACAATTAGTTTGTAATATCAATATCAATATTATCTCTCTTCATATCTTTCCAAATACTTCCGATGGAAAAACACAATTTAAAAGATTTTGGAGTCAGATTAAACTACAAAAATTAGATTATAGGTTTATCTCATCTTCATTTCAAATCACCATTAGTTGTGCTTTACATTAGAATCTAACAACTTCAATCACATTGTAATAACATTCAAGTACTATAACATCTCATTGATTTACTGTATTTCGAACTTTTTTCTATGAGAGTGTGCTTAGGAGGCTCAACATCCTGAAAGTGCTCTCTATTAGGGCAATGCACACTTTGAAAATTATTTTGAAGAAATGCACTATTTCTTAGCTTTTGATTAAAGTAGACTGACTTTACAGCATTCACCCTGAACTTTAAAAAAAGGTGGTGCTCCTTTAAGGAATCCTCTCCTTAAGGCATGGGTGTCAAACTCGCCACATCATGTGACGTGTTGTTATGTATCACAACTTTTTTTGCATTGCCGGAGCTGGGGTGGGCACGGCCTCTGTATGATGCAACCAGCCCATGGGCCGGCAGTTTGACACACCTGCCTTAAGGTGTACCTCAACTTTAGAAACTTGAAGTTACGTGGACTTCAACTCCCAGAATTCCCTAGCCAGCATGGTTAAGGCTAAGGAGACACTTAAAGCAGCAGCACATCTTTTTCAAGCTCATGAGAAGCTTGAAAAAAGTTGGGGTATTTTTTTAGTAGTATTAAGACATCACTGTCCCATCTGAGTTCTGAAGCACTTCTTCTACATCATTTTTGAAGCCTACACAGTCTTTACTCTCTCCTAAGTGCTAATCATGTGCTTTTTATTATTAATCTATGAGGGGGAGGTTAAAGGAAATCTCTCCCTTATCCACTCCTCAAGGGTTCAAATGGAGCCCATATGAGGTAGTATGCTGCATAACTGAGATCAATGTGAATTCTAAAAGATTATTTATCTTAATATAATATAAGAAAGCCTGCTTTCAAACATGATTCCCAAAAGGCAGGATACACTATTTCCTGAACGATAACTAGAAGCCCAAAGTTCACCCTCCAGGTTGATTTTCTGAGATAAGTACATATAGAATGAAGTTGCTACATGCAAATAACAGATTGAGTTCAAACAATGAGAGCCACTAGCTTTGTAATTGAGATCTTTTTAACGTTTGCACTTAACTCATGTTAGAATTGCTTTGCGTTTTACACATTTTCTATCAAGAAAATATTTCAAAGCAAGAAGGAATACATAGCTAGATTGCAAAGGGTTGCCGATGATTAACTCTTTATTTTACAACAAAGAGTATTTATATACGTAAGTGAACATTTTGCTCTGTATAAAACCCATTGTCAAATAACTGTAAATGTTAAGTCATATATTAAAAAAACTTTCTTTGCAGAAGAAAAGCATATTGGAGTCAACATGTCCCAAAGGTGCTTTTCAAAAGACAACTGGACTTTCTTGGTTTTTCTGTGAAAATGTTTCATTTCTCATCCATTCTCCAGAACTGAAGATGCTTCTTGGATGAGAAGCAAGACGTTTTCAAGGAAAAACCAAGAAAATCCAGTTACCTTTGGGGCAACCATGACCTGGATGATTGAGAATCCCCATAGACACTGGGTCAACATATTATCTGTTGGGAAATCAATTTTATCTTAATAAGCAACATTAATATTGATGAATATTCTTTAGAAGATGTGAAGTTCTGAATGTCCTTGCACATTTGAATTAATGAGAGGTAGACAATTCCATTCAGAGGCAACAGGAAAATTACGATGAACTCAAAATTTTGGACAATCCCCAAAAGCTCAGAAGTTGTGAGAGTTGAAATGTAATTTTCTTTCTGTCATTTGCTTAAGGTTTGATTTAAACCATGCAAACTAGAAACTGAATATAAACCACTAGCTTCACTAAAAAACTAACTTTTATGTGATTGTCCCAGACCTGCAAAATCTCTCAGCTCTGGTATTGGGCATATGGTAAAACCAAGGATCATCAAATCCTATACTAGTCTCCTTTTAATTCTTTATCAGTAAATTTAATTTTAACAAACAGTGAAATAGTTTAATTATATACCACACGTAGAAAGATAGGCCCTGACAGTGGGAGAATCCTGTGATACGTGTTTTAATTCTACATTTAATTTTACCTTTAATCTACCGTACATTAAAGGAAACCCTGTTTTTATTTATTAGAGCAAGCGTCTTATTAGAGCAAATCCTATCTACAAGGATACAACGTGACCCTAAGGAGACATTTTTGGACTACTTTTAGGGAGAGGGAGTAAGCATTTGGCTGACCTTGTCTGGCCTTAGAAGCTAAGAGTACTTGGAAACCCCCCCAAGGAATAAACAGAAGCTATAAATTAGCCTCAAGAAAAATTGAAAAATGGCAATTTACAGACATGATCATCTACAGTTTTGATAGCAACAGTTTAAGATCACCACAAGTTGTGTTTGACTCAAATTAGATTTAAGTTAAAGGATAAAGAGAATAGTTTAAAGTTTGTATCCACTTTGTGCCTTTTGTTTTTCCAAAAATGTATGTGGGAGAAAGGAACAGCATTGCTACCAATCAGCATCTCGGCCACCAGATTTCAAAATTTGACTGGTTGTAATCTGAAGATGCTGGAGAAGATGCTGAATGGCTTTCCACACCTATGTTATAGCTATTATGGTACCTTACACACTAAATGCTTAGCAAAAGGGATCGTACAATTAAATGGAATGTAGAAACACATCTTCATATAAAAATTTTGATCGTAATTTTCCTATGTAATATTACTTATTTAAAAATGTAGAAAATTTCAACTAATTATGTCTTTTTCCAGCTAGACAGTGGATGTTTAACCTGTAGTTTTAACTCCCCACAGTAATGGCTTATGATTGTTGCATGCATACCACTCTGGCAATGAAAGATAAATGTTCTGAACAATTAGTAACATATAATAATAACATTATTATATATTAGCTTAATTATTAGTTCAATATTGCAAAGCTTAATCAGCAGTACAATTCTATGCATCTTTACTTAGAAAGTAATTCCAACTGAATTAAATAAAGCTAACTCCCAAACAAAAAGTATAAGATACAGCATAAGATGTGAGAGTCAGTTTGGTCTACTGAATATAAGGCACAAGGCTAGAAACCAGAAAACTGTGAGTTCTAGTCCCGCCTTAGCCATGAAAGCTGGCTGGGTGACTTTGGGCCATTTACTCTCTTTCAACTCAAAATATCAGGCTCAGGAGACAAGCTGGTTAGTCAATTCTTGTCTCAACCAGTCGATCAACATTCAGTTGATCTGAAAAAAGCACACTTACAGGAAACTGCAAAAAGAAATGGGAAATTCCAGCATAAGATTGTACTTCTTTAAGAAAGTTTTTAAAGGAAAGTATAAACACACATTTCCCAGTTTTACAGAAATGTATACTTTTTGCACGACTTTAAAATCATGTTCTGTTATGCTACAAAATGCATGACCATGCATAGTAAGTGTGGTGGATATTAATCAATCTGCTTCCCATTTTCATGGTTTTGGGACACATAGGCAGTGACATTAACTGCGGCAACATGTGTATGGTTTGATGAGGAGTTATAAGTGGTCAGTTCAAATATCTTATCACATAATATGTTGTTAATTATGCTAGAACCCATGCCACTGATGCAGGTATAAAACATAAAGATGTATATTCAGCAATTCTTCAATGCACTAGTCTTTGAATGAAGACTAATGGTTTAATTATGATTTGTTAATTTAAAATGTCAAGTGAGACCCTTTGTTGCACAAAGCATGATTTGACTGAATCTTTGCTGGTCAGCTGCAAACAAATTTCTCCATTTGGGCATCATGCTAAGACTGTAACTGTTAAGATATGGTTAGTTTTAATCATAGTTTATTGAGTAAATAACCCTGTTCATACATAATCTTAAGCCATAAATCAGGGTTTACAATTGGCTTTACACATCACGTAAGCCAAACAAACTACTTTATGGCATAGTGTAATGTATGAATTCAACATATATTTAATTTTCTTTAATCATGATTTGGTGCAAAGTCTGAACTGATTCATAATATTTAGATCTCTGTATTAAATCCTAATATAAAGGGAAAAGAGATATCACAAGACATTGTTTAAGATTAAGCTGATAATTACTAAAGCATTTATAATTTTAGAAATGTAGGACCACTTTCCAAAGGTAACAGAACTGAGAAGTTATGCTTTTCAAACCACGGCTAGAATCTATACATCCAGTACATGCCTTTACTACTTTTTCCAGTTCTGCATTAATGTATAAAAATACCAATATTATTCTATATAAACAAGCCACCAATTGTCTCTTAAATGTAGAATTTTTTGCTTAAATTCTAGAGGATGCATGCTTCATTTTTAAAAATCATAGGCAAGCATAAATTTAGTATCATGAAGATAAATCAAAATCGATTATGGTACATTTTCCTGTAAAAACATACCCTGCAAACAGTATATAATGTTCTTATTGTTCAATAAAAAAGTTTTAACAGGAAAGAATTAACTTTTTAAATAGATCATTTGAAATGTTTAGATACTCTGAATATTGTTTGGTTCACAAACAAAAATGTATAGTTTTTATATACACATCAGTGTAAATAGTGCGAGAATTTAAATGCAGAAAGCTAATCTAACTTTAAATTTCACTACACATCTATTTGGCAATGTGGAGGTATATCTAAAAACACACATGTATGATTCATAGAAAATTACCAAGAGATCAACTTCATTATGAAAAAGCTGTATCATCCCCAACAGTATTATGTTGTATGATAACAATCTTGGAAATAACAGCATTAGGTTAATATTGATGACTTTTTGGCTAAGACATTAATTGAATAAAAAGAAAATGTGGAATGCTTCTGTACATTAATTTTATTGACATAACATAAACATAAGGACAATTTGTCTAAAACGATATGGACTTTTTTGTTCTTTTTCAACATAAAGTGCTAAGAACCATGGCAGAAAGGCTGGCGTATTTTCAAATTTGTTTTAGGAAGTAGTGTCAACCCCAATATGAATGGGAGAAATACAGCTTTACAGACCATTGGTGGATTCCAGTTTTGCAGTGCTTTCATGCTGATCCTCCAAACTGATTTGTGAATCATTGCAGCAATCTGGTGTTTCACCTTTAACAGCCATATAGATGATTTTCAACCACTTCTGTTTCAGCTCTTCATTATCTGCTGCAAAACTGTGCACAGACTTAGACTGAGTCAATTTGAAACTGTGAGGGAGGTCAGCACTTCTTGGGGTGTCATCTACTGTGTAGCCCAAAAGTGGAATAGTAGCCAAGGCTTTGACATCCTATGTAAACAGAAATGAAGTCACTTTAAAAAGGCAACATTTGATAGGAGTCACCAAAAAGAAGCTTCTTAATTTATTATAGAGCAGAGGTCCCCAGCCTTTTGGGCACCAGGGACCGGTTCCGTGAAGAGAGGTTTTTGCAGGGATCAGAGGGTGTGTGGTTTTGTGTGCTGCCTACATCCTGCGGATGGGGCTTTCCTTGTTTGTGCGGACCAGTTGCTGGCATGCCGTGGCCCGGTACTGGTCCACGGACCGGGGGTTGGGGACCCCTGTTATAGAGGTTGTGCTACAGAGGATATTAGATTTCCAACAGGAGAAAACCAGTGACAGGGGAACAAAAAGTTCTCATTCCTAATAAGATTAAACTTTATAGATAAAACGTGCAACCACAGGAAGAAGAAAAATGCAAAACTGGAGAAAACCACCTCCTAGGTCATCAGGGGATCAGATCTCTTTCCTCCCTGCCCTTTCATCACCTATGGCTACCACACTGAAGTGCAAAAATCCAGATGACCACAAGTTAGCAGCTAAGAAGTCCTAAAAAAATCTAAAAAAAAATCTACTGTTGCCATTAGATGCTCCCCAGATTTATAAAACCCAGACCTGTTACAGGTAGTCCTTGACTTACAACCACAATTCAGCCCAAAATTCTGTTGCTAAGTGAGACAGTTGTTAAGTGAGCCTTGACCCCATTTTATGACCTTTCTTGCCACACATAAGTGAATCAATGCAGTCGTTGAATTAGTAACACGGTTGTTAAGTGAATTTGGCTTCCCCATTGTCTTTCCTTGTCAGAAGGTTGCAAAAGAGGATCACATGACCCCAGGACACTGCAACCGTCATAAATATGAATCAAATTTTGATCACACAACCAAGGGGATGCTGAAATGGTTGTAAGTGTGGAATATGGTCATAAGTCACTTTTTTCAGTGCTGTTGTAAATTTGAACGGTCACTAAACAAATAGCTGTAAGTCGAGAACTACTTGTATCACATATCACCTTCTGTTAACAGAAGATGAGGAGAGATACACTGTTGTCATAGCCAATTCTGATTGTTATTGTGTAAACTCTTCTTTTACATACAGTGGGGGAATTCAGAAAGAGTAGGAATTACAGTTGCAGAATTGTAAATGCAAGATACAGTAAGCATGATATCATGTTCCCTAAGGAGAGGAAGGAGCTTTGCTATGGTCTGGCTTCCATTCCTTTTACATACATACCTGTGGAGCGCCATACATATATAAAACAAGGGCTTCATGTTTAGGTATCACACACCAAGCCTTTTGCCATGTTTTCGATTTTTCCAAGTACTGTAGAAAACTACATATCACACTATTCCCTGACACTTCTGCTGATTCAATCTGTAGAGATAAAAGGGAAGGTGGTTAAAGAATTATAAAAAGATCACAATAATTGTTCATAATTCATCAGACAATAATTGGTAAGGAATAAAATCATAGCAAATTCTTCTTCTTCTTCTTGTGCCATATCCATTATCGGACGTTGGCGATCATGTTGGCGATCCTGTTTTTATCAGCAGCCGCACGAAAAAGTGCTGCTGAGTTTTGTCCAAACCAATCCCTTAGATTTTGAAGCCACTATGTTCTTCTTCTGCCTGGACCTCGTTTGCCTTCAATCTTTCCCTGGAGAATTAAATGGAGTATGCCATAGCAAATAAAGTCACAAAAATGACTTAAGCCCAGCTGGTGGCTTGGTATTTCACTATTTATCAAAGAAACGTGACATGGAAGCAATGTAATCTTGTGGCAATAGAATGAAAATGGAAGAATCGCTGACCTTTTACAAAATATTTAATTATCAATCAATTCCAGGGAGCATTTTCTTCATTTAACTCAAAGTGCCTTTTAGAAGAAATCAAAAAAGAAACTCATAAAGTAGCTTATAACAAAAGGCTTTGTCTTCCTTCTGGCTTCTTCTGAAGTCCTTCTTGAAAGTAGCATTGCCAAGTTTTTCACAAAGTAAAAAACTATGGTTGAGTATGTTTGCCTCTAAACAGCAGTTGGTGTGGGTTTGTTGCGCCAAAATAATGTATGTAATAAAGAAGCAATAATGGGCTTTTAAAAATAGCTAATAGAACCAGCAGCACTGGAAACTTCCACTGAATTGCAACTTATAAGCTTATTTGCAGTTTTGGAAGGATGGATTTGTTTTAGTAAAGTCTGCCCATCGCGGCTAAATTTTGTCACTTTTCCTTTTCCCTTTTCTCTTCTCTACCTTTAGCAGTCAAAACTGTGTCCAATGGAAATCCAAGAAACACTATCATTTTCAAAATGTGAAGACTCATGGTTGAGGTGAAAACTTTGTATCTCTGCATACAGTGCTAAACTACAGTTTGCAACTCAGCACAGCCAGTATGACCAACCAAATTAGCTAGGCTGATTTCATGGATGTCATCAGAGGCAGCATATTTTAAAATGGTTTTTTGGCACCCAATGGATGAGTCACATGCAATTTTCTGCATGCAAACATAAATTTAGCCTTTGGCTAGTTAGTTCTCATGAATGGCTTCCTGACTGCATGCAATTTTAAGTAATTATGAGAATTATCAATGCCATTTTAACAGAATAACAGAGTTGGAAGGGACCTTGGAGGTCTTCTAGTCCAACTCTCTGCTCAAGCAGGAGACCCTATACCAGTGATGGCGAACCTTTTAGAGACCAAGTGCCCAAACTGAAACCCAAAACCCACTTATGTATCGTCGGGTGCCGGGTGGGTGTGGCCAATTGGACAGGCGTGGCCCATTGGGTAGGCGTGGCTGCCGTGGTAACGGCAGACTGGGTGGAACTAAAAAATTCAATCAATCAATTCCAACTTTGCGAGATTTTTTTTCCCACAAGAATTTGAAATTGATTGATTGAATCCTTTTTTTTTTTTGCATATGGCGGCGGAGGCCTAAAGCAAAAAGGTTTTATAAAACCCAGCTGAACGCCTAGGACTGGGGCAATGGCGCGCGCGCCCACAGAGAGGGCTCTGCGTGCCATAGGTTCGCCACCACGGCCCTATACCATTTCAGACATGTGGCTGTCCAATCTCTTCTTAAAAGCCTCTTTTGAAGGCAAGCTGTCCCACTGGTTAATTGTTCTCACTGTCAGGAAATTTCTCCTTAATTCTAGGTTGCTTCTCTGCTTGATTAGTTTCCATCCATTGTTTCCTGTCCTGCCTTAAAGTGCTTTGGAAAATAGACTGACCCCATCTTTGTGGCAGCCCCTCAAATATTGGAACACTGCTGTCATGTCAACCCTAGTTCTTCTTTTCACTAGGCTAGACATACCCAATTCTTGCAACTGTTCTTCATATGTTTCATCCTCCAACCCCCTTTTTCTGTGCTCTTTTCAGAGTCTCTGCATCTTTTTTATAATATGGTGATCAAAACTGGATGCAGTAAGTGTGGTCTTATTACTTTTAAGTTAATAAAACATTTTATTAAAACATTTTAAGTTCATAAAATGGGGGCAGGCAACAAAGATACAAAGCAATGTAAATAAGTATTAAACAAAACCCAACATACTTTCATTCTTTAAATTTCATACCTCCAAGATTCCTCTTTTTTTCTTTTCTTCACTATCAGTGCACCCTGTTATAATGTGGTAGCAATCTTTACAGACTTTGTTCAGTTTATTGCCATCATACTCAAGATGAGCTTTATAATCAGAACATTTCCAGCAAACCACCTTAAGAAAAAGAAAAACTGAGTTACTTTGGAACATTAGTTTGCTTCCAAACATTAGCTCCAAACACCATTTGCCACGGTGAGATTTTTACTAAAGGATTAATTTATTAATTTATTGTACAATGATAGCAACCAAACATGAACTCCATCCAGTGTTCTAAAACAGAACTGTTCAGGCATTTAGCACCACCTCTCAAAGACAAACATAATCAAAGAGCTGCAAAAGAAGACAAGGATAATATTGACCTTAACTTTCAGTTGAGAAAAAGCTGTAAATTAACCAGCTCTCCGTATCATGAACATCAGTATCATGGTTAATTCAGGAATCAAAAGTTTGTTTCTGTGTTCCCCAAAGTATCACTAGACTTGGGCAGTCAATACATGTACCGGTAAATGTGATGTACAAAAATATGAATGTATAATTTAACATCTATGAATTATCCAATTAAAAAAAAATCACAGAAATAAAATTCTTCCAACTAGAGATTAAAATTGGTACTCTGAAAAAGAAAATTTCCAAAGATAACTTGAAACCAGCTGAAGATGATCAGTTGGAGGATCAAACAGCTTATGACAGTTCAGAATAGAGATCAGACGGAGGACACCAGCAAGGAAGTAAAATGAAATCAGTTGTGGTTATTTTAACTATCAAGTTAATAAAACATTTTATTAAAATACTTTAAGTCAGGGATCTTCAGACTTGGCCCTTTTATGACTTGTGGACTTCAACTCCCAGAATTCCTCAGCCAGGCACGCTGGCTGAGGAATTCTGGGAGTTGAAGTCCACAAGTCATAAAAGGGCCAAGTTTGAAGACCCCTGCTTTAAGTTAATAAAATGTCAAAAGGAACCATTTACAGAAAATTTTCCTGCATTGGCCATAAGAGGGCGCAGATTTGGTTCACAAGTGGTTCACAGATTCTGACTTCCTGCCACAGCAAGTGTCAGCTGAAACAAAACAGCATTTAAAAGCAATCACCAGATGGAGTTTCTGAACAAGTTTTTGGCAGCTTCAGCAACTGTTAACCAGCAGATGTGGCTTTGTGCTTACATGCCCACAAGCTCGGCAATGATGTCTCCTCCTTGTTAGTGCATTAAATGGCTCTTTGCATTTCATACACATAGTCACTTCATTGTCTCGGATCCATCTTGGGGCTCTCTTCCCGAGCTCAGCAGTCTCAGAGGAGGGGAAAAAAATAAATTGTGGAACATTACTAGAAGAAAAGGTAATTAACTTTCTGTCTGAAAATCCAGTGGAATGACAGGCTAATCTTAAAAGTAAATAACAGGTGTGGATGCTACCATAAACAACAGCTGCATATTTAGGATTGAAAGATATTCAAGATTAGTTTGATGCTTTGCATTTTCCCTTGACAGCAGTAACCAAATCCAGTGATGTAGGAAAAGGCAGGGAATGCCAAAGATTAAAATAGCCATAGATAAATAAGTTCTAATAGCAATTGTGGGAAAAGAAAAGAGAAATAGATACTTGGATCCTAACTTTCATGGCAGCTGGGCTTCAATCCCATAACTACAGTAGACCTTAAACCAGGAAAAGATGTTCAAATGAGCACAGCACTCTTTATATGTGCAAAAAGAGGGATGAAGAGAATTTCTGTAGAGATCAGAACAAATGGATTAACCAAAAAGACAGCTATGTTGTACGATAATTAGAAATGGAATCTAAATTTAAATGTTAGTTATGTTTTGTTTGTTGACTGAATAAAGAATAAACTGTGATTATCACAGTATGTATCTCTCTTGCATTTTTTTATGTCTCCCTCTGGAACTCTTTCATTGTTTTCTAAAGAAATGCTTCTTTTCCAAATATTATGTACAATCCATTGATTTAGGTTTTTTTTTTAAAATAATGTGCAATAGAAAAAGGAGTGAGAAATGTTGAGCAGGAAGTCACACAGAGTTTTTAAAAGACAAAACAAAACTCTTATAACTCTTATCATGAATGAACAGTAATTGGAATGAAAGATTTATAACATATTTGTGGCTGTTTACAGAAGACTGTCGCACCATATATGCTTGTCTGTTCTCACAGTCTTGACTTTTACATCATAGAATAATTTGGTAGATACAATAAATCTTCAAGTGAGTCTGAAGTTGGTGCGGCCTCATAAATTGAAATGATATATAAATATCTTTGCCATGTAGATGACAGATACCACTTTGCCATGCTGAATTTGACTCACACTATTATCTTTTCTCTCTTCTATTATTCCTGCTTCCATCCACACCCTTCTTCTCTTTCTTTTGGCAAATCAGACCATCTCCTGAACAGACATCTCTGTACAGGTCTATCCATATCGATACATTACAATACAGTGAATAAAAATAGGCCCATATGAGCGTTTACGTGACTTGAAAGGTCATTCTAATGGCAAACTAATCTGTTTCATGACTTATTTTCATTTTTTTCTGACATGGACTTTTGAATTAATATGAGCAGACAGGAGTATACACAATCCAAAAGTTACACTCAACTTACAGAAACTTCAATAGGCATGTCATCATATTCTTTTGCAATTGCATTTCTGAATGTTTCATTTCTTTGCTGAAAAGCATCTATAGTACTCTGAAGAGTCTGGAATCAATGAAATGGAGAAAGAATATCAAATTTAACATAACAGAAGAGTAAACGATTAAATGTCAGACCAAAATGAATACTTGAGATAGATATATGCTTGATTCCAGTAACTAACTTTTTAACTCAGCAAACATTTGATGTTTAATTTCAAAAGAATCATGACAACAGCAGCAGAGGAATAGCCATATTACCTAGTTGCATATAAAGCGTCAATCTTAGCACATTTATTGCAGATTTGGATATAACAAGTCAGGTGTATTTACCTTTATCCATTCTTCTTTGTCTTGTTCAGAGCTAAAGAACACAGTTGGAGATAATGGTTAAAAGCATGTTCAGAAATTGTTAATAAGCTAAAGCCATTTTACATGGCAAGGCATACACATGCTGAAGCATATAAAAAGGTACCTATCGAAAACATCAAAAATATCTAATTGCAAGAAAAAAGAGAACTGGAATCCTGGATTCAAAAACTGATGCCTTTCAACTGTGCATAATTAAACCTTTGCTGAAGTATGACATCTGAAATGAGCTCAGAATGATATTTCACATGTATGTATACCAGAATAATGTCTCTAATGCAGTGTCCCCCAACCTTTTGTGAACTAGGGACCAGTTCTGTGGAGAGAGGTTTTTCCATGGACCAGAGAGGGTGTGGTTTCACGTGTTCCCGGCATCCCGTAGATGGGTCTTCACTTGTTTGCATGGCCCGGGTTCTGGCACACCAGGGACCATTACCGATCCATGGACTGGGGATTGGCGACCCCTGCTCTAATACACTCTGCATGTGTGAATGCAAATTCCATTTAGACTTAGCAAATTGTTCTGGTCAATTCAAGGCTGGATTTCTCCCATCTCTGATCTTTCCTTCCACTTTCCAGAAATAAAGTCATTTAAAGCTGTAGCTATTGATCTGAATTGTACTGAGAAGTGAACTTTGTCACTACATATATAAAATTTTCCTGCCAAATTGAACTCTACAACTAAACCTAATCTCATGAATTTGTACACTGCCTAGTGTGCATTGTTCACATTACTTCTAAAAGCAGATTTGGAAGAGAAGTTCCATAGTTCTCATCAGCAGGTCATTTGCATAAAAGCCACTTAGCAGTTTCTTTTCCATTCCTGTCCCCTCTCTAAGCATAGGCAAGCTTGGGCTCAAGCGATTGCTTTCATATTATCTAAATCTTCTGTAGTGATACATTAACAGTTTCACTACAGGTGACTTAATATAATATAGTACTGCCTGAAAATTAGTGCTCGGATGCTTTCAGTTTGCAGAAATAAAGGATTTTTTGCTAGGGCTGTGCAGATTTGAAAGCAAAAAGATGTTCGGAATGTGCAAGGATCCAAACAGAGCAATAGTTGCACATGATCGCTGCTTTAAAGAGTTGCACCCAGATTGCACCCTGCTACTTCCAAATAATGGTTTTGCCTTCAAATAAGCATACAATCAAAGGGATACCCTATGATTATAGGAATGCCTACGGGACATCATATTTTCCCTAAGAACATCAAAGAAGGAAACCAAGGCTGTGACTTGCTTTCACTTTCATGGAATCAGAATAACTATACTAAACAGACCAATGGTTCTGTTCCATGACTCCAGACTGTGTAGCTGCATGATAAAAATAAATCTTATCATCTGTGTCAACTGCTAGAACATGGGAGGTTTAATAAGATAATACTCTAGGCATTTAAGTCTTAGAGGTACAGACAGAGACTGTATAAATTGATCTAATCAAACATTAAGTTCTGTTTCTCACGGGGTTGCAGTAATGGCTCTATGAGATCAACAGGAAGCAATCATCTCTATAACAAAATGCACCTTATAACCACAAGCATCAATTTGCACTCTTTGTGGAATCAAACAAAGACAAATTCTTCTGGTAAAGAAAATCCTTAGGGCAAACTAATGCAATTTTTATGGGGATGAAGATTACTGTTTATCAGTGTGAGGCATGTACTCAATAACATAAGAAGGAAGATGTAGCTGGTATTACAAACATTTATCTAGCCTTTTTATTTATGCTCATTAAAAAAACAGAAGAGATTGTGTACTGTGGAAAGGACCCTAAAGAAACTCTTCATGTCACAGAGACATAGAGCATCCTGCAATCCACTAATTATAAATAAATAAACATGACTATTAACTATTCCACAGTACTTAATATAAACAGAATTCAGTTAACAGTGTTAAGTACATCTAATATATTTCTTCAATCTACCAGAAGGACTTATTTGGTTTCAATAGTGAAATGTTCCAAGTCATTTTTGTAATTTTAATATAGGTTATTCTCGGATCTCTTCAGGCCAGATATATTTTCAAGCAACTTGATGCCTTCTGCTCAACATTTCCATTGGAATTGGAGATTCATCTAACCATACAGGTTCTACTCAACTTATGACCGCAATTAAACCTAAAAATTCTGTTGTTAAGCAAGGCAGTTGTTAAATGAGTTTTGCCCCATTTTACGACCATTTTAACCACTGTTAAGTGAATTGCTGCAGTTATTAAGTGAATTATACAGTCATCAAGCGAATTTAGCTTCCTCCTTTGACTTTGCTTGAATGGGAAGGTTACAAATGGTGATCACATGACCCCAAGTGCCCAAATTTTGATCATGTGACCATGCGGATGTTACAACAGTTGTAAGTGTGAAAAACCGTCATAAGTCACTTTTTTTAGAGTTATTGTAATTTCAAATGATCATTAAACAAATGGTTTTAAATCAAGGGCTACAGGAATCTAACTGACCTGGCAGGATTAGGGGAAAGGTCAAAAGTCAACAAAAAATCAGCTGGGGAAAGCTACCAGCATGCTGGCTGAGGAATTCTGGGAGTTGAAGTCCACACATTTTAAAGTTGCCAAGTTTGAAAATGCTGACCTAAAACCCATGATGTCCTAAAACCCATCACGCATTTTGAATTTCACTAAGAAGAATGAAAAGAACCACTGCTTTCCAAACGCAAGTCAGATATATGCCAGTTTTCAATATCTCTGCTCCAGGACTCTAAACTTTTACTTTCATGTGACTATGCTTCATGCAACAATCTTAAACTCACTTCTTACCTGGCCTGCAACTCTAAAGTTCGTTCTTTCCCAGACACTTGGAAAGTGTGTGGATATTCTTCATTGTGGGTTTCTACAATCTTCATACCATCAATGCCTACTCTTGTCCGGACTGTAAACTTAGATCCCACTAAGCTGAATTTTGGTACACAGTACAGCAACATGTTATTGAACTGGAAAAAAACAACAACAATATACCAAAAGACATTAGTGTCCACAATTGTATTAAATGGATTATATTGAACAAAAAGCATTCACTTTCCAATGTGAAAGTTGTGTCTTAGTGAAAGAAAAATAAGAAAGATATTAATAAGTGGTTAGCATAACTAACTTTGCTACAATCTTCCCAGGATATTCACTCAATTATAGTTCTCTTTCAATATACAATATAGTACAACCTGAGAGAAATGTTACATTTGCCATTGTGCAAAATAAGTACATGTTTCATAAAGGATTAAAGTAGTGAAGCCATTTTTATTTTGTTTAATGTTTACTTTAAAAAAAAAGTTCTTTGGTTTTGAAAAGTACAGCTTGCCTGGAAGCTGACTTTGAGTGTAGAGAGTGTGAAATATTTTCTGGGAATACTTTTAAGTACAGAAAAGGATGGTCAAGATTGTTCTAAGGATTTTAGCCACATCTGTGTTACACAAACTTTTTCTAGAACTTAACTGACTTTGAGTTAAATCTGGCCTTAAATATAAACATGACTTTTAGGAAGAAGGCTGTAATACAAGTTTAGAAACTTAATTTCCTCTTCACAAAAGAGAGAAAAAAATAGTTAGAAAAATACTTTTGAAACTAACAGAAGGCATTTAAGTGTTTTCAGTGGGCACATGTCAGGCATGGGTCCACACATGAAAGTCCAATTAAACTAATTTATTGCTTCACATGCCTGTGGACAGGAATCTTCTCAACTAACAGGTAGCACCTGCTTTGAGTTAGATAAGGGTCCATGGAATTTAAGGGAGAGATTGGACTTAGTCTGTTTGTGGCTATGTAGGGATTCTAGGCTGATTCCTCTTTTAACTCTGCCCCCAGATTCTGCCACTCTTCCTCCTACAGCACCAAGATGTACTAGTTAAATACACCATTCATTACTTATCCATTCAAAAATAGGGGACATACGATTAAGAGAAGGTAGCCTGGTGGACAATTTCATAAGAATCCTTTTATTAATCTATAATCTAGTATTTATTTATTTGAATTTATTACCACCTGTCATCTTCTCCCCACTCCACATTGCTTTTTTGTAAACTTCCACCTGCAAACTGGGAAGTTTCCTTTGTCAGTATACATTAAGCGCCTCTTATCATTTAATTATGTTTCAGCCCTTTATTTGCATCAACATTAGTTCTAGTTAGAATTAACCATGGTTCCTGGTCCTTTCTAAAGTAAATTATAAGGCTGTTTAGGAGGAAGGCATGTTCATATTTAGCACTGCTTCACAAGTTATGTTAAGAACAATTAGAAACACTGTACTAGAAAGAGAACTACAGAAAGTCAATTTGGAAATCTTTCTTTGTAGGAAAAAACACAGCACTGAAATAGCACTTCCCCTTCACCTGCACAAACATAGAAATCCATTGTTAAAGACATTTAAAATGGTAGTCAGAGGAAAATACTTACTAAGAAGAGATATCTTTCTTGAGCTGATGTGTTGCGAGCAGCAAGCTTAAGTATTTGCCCTTCTTTTATCAGTTCATTTGACGGGTTGACAATATCTTCTTCTTCCCCTAACATTTCATACACTTCTAGTAACTTCTTCAAATTTTCCTTTTTCATCAAAATAAAACAAATGAGCAACATTGATGCGAGCTGCTTGCAACTTTTTTTATGAAAATTGCAAAAGACAGAAAGCATTGGTTTTAAAAATTAAATTACAGACTTGTTTTTTTATATATAAAACATTTCTGTAGCAAAATAGTTGACCCTGGACAGTGTCACAATTAAATGACCTTCCTGGTAAGAGAGTTCCATTGGTTAGTCAATACATACATTTTAAAAATAGCAGTAAAATATTGAGGTATTATGTTCATTCACTGAAAAGGAAAAAAAATACTAGTGTGTACTCAAATTTCTCCTGAAGCTTGGGTGAGATCTATCTCAGGATAATTCTATATGGTGTTTAACAGAAGTTCCAGAATTGCTAGGACAATTAACCAGTGGAACAGCTTACCCCCAGAAATCATGGGCGCTCCATCACTGGAGATTTTTAAGAAGAGACTAGACAGTCACTTGTCTGAGATGGTATAGGTTCTCCTGCTTGAGCAGGGGGGCTGGACTAGAAGGTCTCCAAGGTCCCTTCCAGCTCTATTCTATTCTGTTCTGTTCTGTTCTAGATTAATGATCAGGACCATTCATTAAATTACAGCACAAAAAAAACTTATTTAAGCCTATACACAAGAATCTATTCATCTAAAGTTCAATATTAAATTGGCATCAGATAAGGATCAATGGAATTCAAGAGGGGATGGACTTGGATTGTTTGTGGCAATGTAAGGACTCTAAGCTGATGACATGTTTAACTCCACCCTCCAGCTCTGCCCACTCTTCTTCTACATCAATAACCTCATGGGTTACGAAGAGGATGAAACAAAGAGAGAGTTCATTTATCTTCTATATAAATAAAAATGTAAATGTTCATTTGTTCAAAATCTTAAATCTCCGAAAGTTCTTCACCGATTGCTTTGAAATTTTGACACAACGTTGCATTCGAATACGCACGTGTTTTTATATACCTATATTATATAGATGTCACACCTGTGACAGGTAAAAACATGCTTTTTTTTGAAAAACAGCGCCATCTGTTGGACGTAAAAACAACACAAATGTGTGCTTTCTCTTTTCTTTCTTTTCCATTTAACCAGACTGAGCCACAGCAACGCGTGGCCGGGTACAGCTATTTACTTTAAAGATTTATATGATTTATATAGATAGATTTAGAAACTCACAAACATATTCTATAAAGGTAACACATAAAAAAGATGTTTCATCAGGTATATTGCACAGTTCACATATAGCAGTTCTTTTTTCTCAAAGAACATCTCGTTTCCTCAAGACTGGAAAAGCCAAAATATGGGTCATGTACAAAAACAAGAAAAGTGCTCTAAGAATTGTGCAAAGATGCAGTTCCTTTGGGGGAAATCATCTATGACAAAACCAGGAGCGGGTGTACTTGCCAAAATAAATGGCAACTGCTTTAATTGCCCTTCTGGATAGTGTAGGAACTTTTGGGAAAATGAATGTAATATTTTAATAAAAATAGTACTTCTCACTTAGGCATCCATAAAATTGATAGTTATCCATAAGACTTAAATACAGGTAATCCTCGCTTACAATCATTTGTTTAATGACCATTTGAAGTTACAATGGCATTGAAAAAAGAGACTTTTTTTGTCATAGAATGCAGGGCTTTTTTTGTCATAGAACACACTGGAACAGAGTTCCGGCACCTTTTTTCGATGGATTTTCCAGAGTTGCGTTCTTTTCCTATTGTTTCCCTTCCTATCCTCGTTTGTTTTTGTAAATGCCCTGCTGGCGGTACGGTGAGAGCGGGGTCCCCTCCAGTGCTGTCTGCCTCCTCTAGGGGGAGCCATGAGGCACCAGAGCACAACAGCCAGAGCATGGCTTGATTGGCTGGGTCGGACCACGTGGTGTGGAAGCCGATAGTGACAGTGGGAGACACATAAACGTGGAGGCCATCTTTCATGAGAGGGTGAGTGAGTCTTTTGCATTCCCTTACAGAAGGTGGGGTGTGAGGTTAAAAAGAGGCAAAGCGAGAGGAAAGAAAGCGGCTGACATGGAAGTTTGCCCAACAGCAAAACTTTGCTGTTTTGGTTCCCAGTTCAAAGGCTGGGATGTCTACGAAAATCTCTTTTTAGTCTTTTATACTTTATATTCAAACTGCAGAGGGGAAGAATAAGAATAAAGCCAATGTCTTGTGATTTGGAGGTATTATTATTAATAATAATAATATATATTAATTATGTATTGGTCAGATGTAAAGGTAGACCTACAGTATGAGGTTTAATCAGATCTATTTATTAAATTGGGTTTAACTGAAGGTAAATTAAAAGTAATCTGTTCACTGACAAAGTTTCAACTTTAATTTGTTTCAAGTCAATATCCATATTAAACTCCAAATGTAAATTTTTCAAGCTTGTTTGACAACTTCTTAAAAATAATTCAATCTTTTACAAGCAACCAAATTTTGTTTTATTGGGCCAATTTCATTCCACATAGAAAGCTGACATTTCCACTCATTAAACTAAATGGGTATGCCAGTGGTAAATGTCCCAAAAGATTAATAAAATGCCTTCTTGAAATTTAAAGCCACACAGTGCATGGTAACATTAATAGTATTAACTTACCTTGAACAAAATCCTAGTCTATTAGATACACTAAAAATTGAAGGGGTTTTTTTTCAACTACAAAGGTAAATCTTGTCGGGTAGGCAAGGCGGGTTGTATGACGTGTGTGAGTTCGGGCACTTTTTTTTTTTTTTTTTTTTTTTACAAAAAAAGCACTGCTTATGACTGTTTCACACATACAACAGTTGCAGCACCCCCATGGGCACATGATAAAAATTCAGACGCTGGGCAATTTTCTGACAAGCAAAGTCAATGGGAAAGCCAGATTCACTTAACAACAGTAACGGTGTTACTAATTTAACAAGTGAAGTGGTTCACTTAACAACTGCAGCAAGATAGATCGTAAAATGGAGCAAAACTCACTTAACAACTGTCTTGCTTAGCAATGGAAATTTTGGGCTCAATTGTGGTTGTAAGTTGAAGACTGCCTATAATAATAACTAAAATGCAGATTCTGCAAATAGAAAATGCCAAATAAGTTACTCACCATTTTCCGAATGGCACTATTAGAGTGACTTGCAGCTGTGGATATAATTTCCAAGGATTCTAGGGAAGAAATGGAAAATAAAAAAGATTATTTTTTATCCTTAATATTTTAAAAGTTAACTTGCATATACCCTTTAAAAAAAAAAAAAAGAGCTGACAAACTAAATTAAGTAGCCATATACTCTCTAGCATAGCAAGCTTTCAAGGCATATACTGTATATATATATATATACACACACATACATACACACACATACATACATAATATATATATACATATACATACATATACATATACATACACATACATACATATACATACATATTTGTTTTCTTAGATTTTCACCGGTACAGGTATGCAGGTCTTGGCGTATTCGGGTCTTTTCCCGCCAAGACCTGCATATATACACACACACACACATATATCCTCAGAGCAACAGAGACTTCCTGCAGCCAACATAGGTATGTTAAACTTGAGTATTAAATGGTCATGATAATGCATCTTTTGCTGAAATGAAGCATAAAACAAGTCCTTGGCAGAATAATTTTTCCGCTATGTAAAATGCAAATCCAGCTATTAATTCAAATTGTCACTGCCAGCTCAGTCACTTCAAACTGGAATATGTATGAAAATGACTGCTATGCTTGTCCTTTTGACACCAAATGAAATCTGCGGAAGTCAATTAAAGGCAAGGATATGACAGGACTGCCACTATGCTGAAGGAAAACTAATCTTAACCTCCTTATTCAAATTTCAGAAAAAAACAGAGTCCATTAATTTAATCAAGGAAATAGATCTTTGGGAAAAAAATAATCATAACATATATCTTTCTGTGGTTTGAATTAACAAACCAATCTCTTATTTAAACATTTGCACAAAACTATTATGAGCATTCATGGAATGAAATAATTTGGAAAAAAATGGAAACTCCTTTTTTAAAACTATAATTTAAAAAGAATACCTTTAAAATTATAACTAATTTATGACAGTAGCAAAAACCATCAGAAATTAAAACTGAATATAGCATGTCAGTAAGAGAATGCATACTGATATGCTGATATACTTATTTCCTCCTGCATTCCAGTATACAACTGAAATGCAAGAGAAAATAAGATTTTTTTTTTCATCCCGACAACCAAAGGAAAATAGCGAACTGTAAAATAGTTCCTCTTTCGCTTCATGCAGAATGCACACAAACATTACTTTCAGCATCTTTCCAATCGAGAGAATCTGCAGGCAATTTTCTCAAATAATCCTTCAACAGCATCTCATATCTTGGAATTCGTTGTACAGGTTCTAGCATGTGATGCTGCAAAGTCAGATTTCCACAAACTTTCTGTTTCTAGAAAAAAAAAGAATGAAAACTGTTAATATACATCTTGTACAAGACAGGTAGTCCTCAGCTTTAATAATTTGGATTCAGTGGAATTTTAGATCTCCTAGTTTTCATTAGCCATATATGACCCACACTTTAGACAACTTAAGTTTTATCATTTCATGGGTAGAATATTAGATAACTATAGGCACTTTCAAATTGTATCCAGAAGGCACTATATACCATGCAACAAAATAAAATGCTGCTGACATGGTCTTGTGTGTGTGTGTGTGTGTGTGTAATAAAATCATTGTCTCTTTCACTCATACTACATACATACACATATTACCTGAATATCTTGAATAATAGATTTGAAACAAGGAGATCTCTCAGTCCATGTTTTTACCAACTCCATTGCATTGTCAAAATTCTTCACATACTCTCCATACATCTTGAGAAAAGGAGCCAGTTTCTGCAGAATATCACTGATCCTGGGATTGGTGTCCCTAAATAGGAGGAAAAAAGGCAGCAACATATGAATACTGTGTTAAAAGTCAAGTAATAGTTACCATGGGCCTTTTAGTACTGTAAATTCTTTGTCATTGGGTTAGTTTGCCTGCCTTAATACCTACAGGTAGCACTCGAATTACAACAGTTCATTTAGTGACCATTCGAAGTTACAACAGCACTGAAAAAAGTGACTTAAGACCATTTTTCACACTTATGACTGTAGCAGCATTCCCATGATCACGTGATTTACATTTGGATGCTTGACAACTGACTCACATTTATGATGGTTGCAGTGTCCCGGGATCATGTGATCCCCTTTTACAAACTTCTGACAGGCAAAGTCAATGGGGAAACCAGATTCACTTAACAACTGTGTTACTAATTTAAGAACTGTAATGATTCACTTAATAAATGTGGCGAGAAAAGTCGTAAAATGGGGCAAAACTCACTTAACAAATGGACTCAATTGAGATCGTAAGTTGAGGACTACCTGTACTTTGCGCGTGACAATTTAAAAAAGAATATTTCATAGGATTTTCAGACTCAAACTCATATTCTCAAATGTGACGATTACAATTTGTTACAGGTGCTTTTAGTGAAGGCCTATCACGAAAAGCACTCATCTTTTCAATTAATTAATTAGACTCCCACAGTAGAACGCTAACCTCTAATTGTTCAGGAGCCAATGCCTCTACTTTATGAAAGATTTTATCCTCCATACTGATCATTTGTAAGGGAGACACAAGCAATTCTCAAAGTTGTAACTAATATTCTACAACAGGAAAGATTACACAAGGACAATCTGTACAGTAATCCCACCTCTGTGTTTTTCCACCCAATGGGATCAGAGAGTGAACAGGACTGAAGTATGTGATCTGGTTTTGAGTTGAAAGAAATTTGCATGACCAAGGGGAGAAGTGAAAAAACAAAAATGGGTGTGTTCAATTTAATATATCTTTAATTTTAAAAATTAACAAAAATCTTGCTGCTGAAAATAATTAACTTTTTTTGCTACTGAACTTTGACAGTTGAATTTAGAGGGGTATATACGGATTGTGGGCCCCATGTTTCTCACCCCACATGTTAAGAAGGTTTGGCAACATGAGCTGCCATATATCCCTTTCTTCCTAAAATGTGGTCTGGAGAAAATTAGTGGATGATTGTAATTAACAACTACATCCAAACTCAGAAAAGGTATGATTCTGAAAAATATTTTTTTTATGAAGCAAGACAAAAAGAAATCTGGGCTTATGAATCTTAAAACTACAAATAAGCTTAACATCTGTCTTAATTCCAGACACAACTTTAAGCTAGTCAAAAAGCAGAAATAAATTTCAGAATTTCTTGTACAATACAAAATGAGAGGGGAGTTAAGATTTGGTTGGTACTGAAAAGGCATTGAGATAATAGTAGATCTTTTGCAATCAGAAATCCTTTCCTATCCTAAAATCAGTATTAAATATTGCAAAAAAAAATATCCCTGGAACTCTCTTTTCTCCTTTCTTCTGATGTTCAGAAAACAAAAGATAAATAAGTAAAGAAACAAAAAAAAACCTGTTAAATAAAGGTGCATATAACTCCATGTCATAATATCTACTTAAAATAAAGACTTCCCTTTTAAAAAAAATGTTCACTGCAGCACTGTGCTAAAATAAAAGTCTTTTTTTTTAAAAAAAGAAAATTCAACTCACAGCTTGACCAAGTATATTTCTCTTAACATATTAAAACAAACATCCAGTTCATGATGTAGAAGTTGATCTTTTTTATTCTACAAATACAGATTGATCTTGTCCGCTCCAATATTGCCTTGTGGCAATCCATATATTTTTGATACTAGTTTTAAGGCAAAGGTATATTCTATTTCCAGGGTTTTTCATACAGAATCTTTAAGGATCTCAATTACACAAAGTTAAATGCTTCTTGTGTGGGGGGAGGGAATCCACAATCTCCTACGGAAGGATGATGTCCATGTTATTTTTCATACTGTTGTTCAACAATTTGCAACCATGCTTACCATTCTTGCATCCTTTTCTCAAGATCAGGTAGCAAGAATTGACTATGGAACTGATTTATGGATGAAATATTGGAAAATATTTTATTAACGACTTCAGCTGGAAATGATCCCCTGTTAGCTTCATCCATTAGTTTGCTATAAAAGACCTGCAAAGAATGGAAGACAGAGTCACGCATAAATGCATTCCTGCTCCCCTCACATTAGCACAAGATAAAAGATCTCTGGTGTTTATTAGTATATCAGGTAATCTATAATAATGTTTTTAACAATCTCCTGTTGTTATAGCCTCTGTTTGTTTTAAGGGATCAATACAGGGCTACTTATTTTTGCCCTTCATAGCGGTTTCTTTACAAAGCAAGGATGTGCAGTGCGAAAGCATAAATGGATTTCAGAAGTAATGGGGGCACCCATGTTGTACCCCTGTGCATTTTTTTCCAGTACCTGCATCCTTTCATAAAAAAGTTGCTGACGGATACTACATTCACATCCCTGTACTCTCCAAACAACCTTTTTCTGCTGTGAATCCAAAGCACCACAGTGTGAAATGACCTTCAAACATGTCAGTTTTTATTCTAGGAAAGCTATGCAATCTTCTGAGCCAGCAGATTTTTGATTTATGTGCTGCTTCTTTTTTTTTCTTCCTTTCCTTCAAAAGTCATCTTCCCTTACATTCGCTGCTCATTTAAGTCAAAACATTCATCCCCATGTTACACTGATGAGCAATCACATCGATCCTTTTTCGTATTCCATTTTTTATGGAACACAGAAACAGACTGATATAACAACCTTCAGTTACTCTTTATTTCTTTATTTGATTTATATACCTGCCCATCTCACTGTTACATGACCCTTGGACATATTATGTTACACAATTCTGAACGCATAACGATTTATTAGCTGGCTACATTCTGATGAAATAAATACCTTAGGACTCCTTATCACTTCCTTCAGACTACCATAAGGCTTGAGTTAGTCTTGCTGATAGCTAGCTAAAAAAAGTTAATCTAACTGCAAACAAGAGCAACATGCTTTATCTGGATTTGGAAGCTACATAATTAAAATCTTACAAAAGAGGTTTGTCTTCTTTTATGTTTTCTGGGGGTGGGTTATTTTTAACTTTAGGGTTCCCTTATAGTCTCTCATTCAATGTTAATTCTGCTTAGCTTTTCAAGATCAATCTATAATGAAGATGGAGCTTTTTTATGATATAAAATGAATTCCACTTCTCAAAAAGTTGGTTTTAAAAAAATAATATTGCAGGATCCAATCTGGGTTGGTCACTGGGACCAGAGGTTTAGTCTTCCAAGCTTTCGGACTCATGCTGAAGCCCATCCTCAGGGAACTTCTCTCTAGCAGTTCTTATCTGCTCTGGTCCCAGTGACCAATCCCGATTGGGTCCTACAACATTATCCTGGAACATGTATATTCGCCTTCATTCATGAAATAACATTAATCAATTAAAATCCCAAGCACACTTGAATGCAAACAAATTTTTCTGCCAGGGGAAGTTTCAAGTTATTTTTGTAGCTGTCTAACCCAGGAGAAAGGTGGTGGAATGGAATGTGCAACCTCAAGAGTCATTCTTATGTAAACCATAGTTAGGTTTCATGTGAATATACAGCCTTAACTTCAATTTTTACAAAAACTTTGAGGGTGCATTTTATTACCAACACTACGAATGAGGTCAAAGTTATAAATTTAGGATCTAATAAACCAATAGATTTGCAATTAGGAAACTGATTTTAGTGATGTAGAATTTCCTTTTTAGTAGTCCATTTAGACTCCTGGTGACTTCATGGACACATCTATCTGGTTTTCCTAGAATCAGTACAGAAATGATTTGCTACTGCTACCTTCTGGGATTTTTTTTTTTTTTAAAAAAAAACACTTCCCAGTCTATCCTGTAGCTTAAGGATTTGCTAGTAGTTTTCCATCCAAGTATAGCCAGGTCCACCCAATATTAGGTTTTTGAGATGAGCCAAAGTCAACTGGGTGTTGCCGTACAGCTGCTCAATATTATGTTTTGGAATGTTTGAAAATGTAATATAAAATTTATAGCTTTTTTAAAAGGGCAAAATGTAGCAACACAGAGTAACTAGCTTACATAGGCCTCAATATTTTTAATGTGGCTTGCAGCTACCATTTACTTACAGCATTCTCTATAAAAGACAAAATATAGGGCTTAGTTTAGGAAATATAAAATCACAAGCAAACTTCAGGGGTCCATGTCACCTCCTTTTCACTTCAACAATTTCAAAGAGGTTAAAACAGGTATGTAAGGACTAACTTACAGGATCTCCCAATTCTAGCACCTCTGCAGGGTGCTGCTTGAAAAAGACTTCATTAAACTATGATTTGCTAAAAAGAAGCAAAGAAGCAATCAAAGAGAAAGACAGGTGAGTAAGAATAGCTGGAGAAAATCAGCAAAGGCATCAGAAATTTGAAATGAGAATATCAGTCAAAGAAGTTTTGGACAGGACTTGGGGAATGAAGGATTAGGCAAAAGACAAAAACGTTTAATGGGAAATGCAAGAATAATGATAGATGAGGTATATGGGATAAGATTGATGGGCATCCTGAAACAAGGATAGATAGAAAGATGGATTGTTAACTACAGAGAAGCAAAAACTGAATTCGGCCTGTGTCTCATGAAGCATAGGGACAAAGTGAAATCTTGTACTATCCATGAGATGTTAATGAAAACATAAGGCAGGTCCAATATGCAAATGAAGGACAGGCACTAATCTGAATTTGCCAGCCAAATACTCAACTGAAACATTTCTAATATGGTACTCTTTTAATTATCAGTAGCAATAGCACTTAGATTTATATACCACTCAATAATTGTTTACAGCACTCTCTAAGTGGTTTACAAATGTCAATATTTTGCCCCCAACAATCTTGGTCCTCATTTTACCGACATCAGAAGGATGGAAATCTGGGTCAACATTGAGCCATTCAGGATCAAACTACTGGCTGTGGGCAAAGTTAGCCTGCAATACTGCATTCTAACCACTGCACCACCAGGGCTTTTAATTAAGTGCCTGCTTGCTTTTATAATCATATTATTTTGTTATTGATTTGTTCTGTTTCTTTGGCTGCCCACTCCCAGGCTTGTACATCACTTCACAGCAAAACAGCTCCTTACTAAGCTGAAAGGAATTGCATTAATTCATGCAGCCAACAACTACAGTAAGAAGATAGTAGTCTAAATAAACCACTAGAAATTTAAAGGTAACAAGAGACATCTAATTTCTATTCCAAAACTGGCAATTATGCAGTGCTTCTTACATTTCAAGTCAGAGAGAAAAATCCAAATCAACACAAAAGGAAGCTGGCTAAGTTTTAAAAAATGAGTATCTTCAAAACTCAATTTATAGTCTAAGGAGCCAAAAAGGGGGGAAATAATTATGTAAAGAGTGAAGGTGAGAAGCAATCCAAAAGACAGGACACCCCATGATGAAAAATGTTCGGATATAATATTGGGGAGAAAAATGTTTTATTGTAAACAAAAAGAACAGGCTACTGAAACAGGAGAGCAAAACCAAAGCTCGTGGGCTGTGTGACATTTAAAAATTTTTGGACTGTGGAATTTAAATGGAACTTTATTCTGATGGGATATGAGTAATTCCTAATTATTTTGTAGTTAGTCATCATTTCAAGTGGGAAATGAATGTGAATTTTCCCTTTCTTAATTGCAAAATTAAATTGGTCTCATGGTTATTAGGAGTGACCAACTAGCCACAGGGTGGTGTTTGCCAAAGGGAGAAAATGGACCCCATTGCTGAGAGAGAGAAAATGGGACACTGGAGGAAATATTCTTGATAATAGTGTGCTCACTTAGACAACTCTTCTCTTTCCAATAGAGAAAGAATGGCACAGGAAGATGTAATCTAAAACACTAATTCCCATTGAGGATATATGCTTGTATAAATTTACAAATATGCATGACCAACATCTTGGGAAATCATTATATATTGTCCAATATCTTGGCAGTAATTTCGATACCTCATGATTTGGCCATTTCATCAGATTCCAGTAAAAATGAATTATTATTTAAATTAGGAGACCTGCAAATTCCATTGGTGAGGCAGGTTTTGATACAATGCCTGCAGTTCTATATTACTGACTCTGGAGTTGAGTGCTGATCTTCAAAATCTACTGATAATAATGTAATAATCCACATAAAGGAAAAACACTGGTAGAAGATGTGGGGAAGAGATAACGCATTTATGAAGATGTGGTGGAAGAATGAAATGACAGCATATTTCCAAGAGTGATATGCAGATGTTTGGGGAACATTTGAGGAAACAAACGTAATATTCTTTAGTTTTAATCCAAGCTAATTTCAAAACAGATTCAGATAAAAAAAGCCTTCCTGTACATGTCTTATTTCATACATAACTCTAAGCCCAGGTTTTTCACCATATTATGAATTAGCACTGCATGTGACTCAAGCAAAAGTGTTTCTTGTTATACATTAAATTAAATTAAAACATTTCTTCACACACAAAAATAAGGAGGTAGAAAAAATGCTTACCTGATCCAAGAGAGCAAGTCTACTCACATAAGCTCTTTCAGTGTGCAAAAGCTCATTGACAATTTTGTAACATTTCTCTTCATTTGTTTCCTGGAAATACATGTGATTTTATTTTTAGAAGAAAGCTTTAAACATGTACTTTCTACCATTTCTTTTGCAATCAGTTACTATGTTCATCAAGCAATGATTTTTTTCAGAACTGAACTCAATTGAGCACAGGAAACTATATGAAAAACCAGAATGGTACACAAACAGTCCAAGGCCTATCTTATTGTGTTAAAACAAAAGTAAGCATAAATGCTTTTTAATGTGGCCTAGGATTTTTTTGGCCAATATTAACATCAGAAGCACTAACTAACGGTATCAATTTATTCAACAAAAGCTTACTATTTTGCTTGCTTGTTTTTCCACTTCAGATAAACTCACATTACAGAGGCATTACTAACAACTGTGGCCACTTTATCTGTGTTTAATCCTAATATTGTAGCATACGTAACATCTAACATCACTGCATGAAAGCTTTATCCACTTTTTTACTTTCCAAGATGGTTTTGGCTGTTGCAACTTTTTTCTTAAATATATAATTTCAAATTGTAATATGTGAAGTGATATCCTTAGGTCTTGTCAATAAGATCTTATATGTACAGAGATATGATGGTTGTTCTGATCATATCTGGAGTCACCATCTTTTGCCAGCATCTGAGCCAGCTTTGCAGTCACTGGCCAACAGTAATTTATATAAAAAACATATACACATAGTCCTCAATTTATGACCACAACTGGGACCAGAATTTCCAGCAATGCTGTTGTTAAGTGAGTTGTGTCCAATTTTACAAGCTTTTTTATGGTTGTTAAGCAAATCATTGAAGTTGTTAAATGAATCATATGATCATTAAGCAAATCCAGCTTCCTCCATTGACTTTGCTTGTCAGAAGCTGGCTGGGAATGTGTAATGAAACATGAAATAAGCAAACAATCAACTCCTGTATCCATTATTCTATTATATCTTCTTTTCCATCTGAAAGTCTTTGCACAAGAATGGCCAAATTATGCCACCAAAGAAAATCTTTGTTTCGAATGCAATCTAATTCCCTTAAGCAACTTTGTCTAGGCCAGTACACATTTTGTGTTATAATGCCATTACATGAAACAAATAGCTGGTATTGGTCACACTGGACAAGACATGCAAGACCGAAGTATTATATGTCCATATTCTTTTCAAAGCAGATCTTCCCCCACTGTGAGACCAACTTGATCTTTACAGTACAAATTGAAAACTGTATTTGAACTGCATGCAAATAGGAATGTACTCAAGAATGCTGGCTAGGATTAAAACTGGGGCCCAACTCTAATTCTAAATTCCATGAAGACAAACCATAGCCAATTGCTACTAAATTACAGTTGAAATTGGGGTGGAATAAATGCATTCATGAATTCTTCGCTTTGTTTGTTGTATTACAGAATGCACCATTTTTATGGGGTTGAGTTTTTTTCCTCAATTTTCTGACTTCTCCTTACATGTCTTTTCTACTTTATAGCAACCTTGATGAAGCTATTTTTCCAAGTTGTGTTCATTCCCACACGAAGAGCTTATTTCTAGCCTAAATATACCTGCCATTACAGCCGAACCATGGAATGAATTGTCAAAAAACATCTCTCACAGGACATATACAGGTAGTCCTTGACTTACGACCACAAGTGAACCCAAAATTTATATTGCTGAATGAGACATTTATTAAGTGAGTTTTGTCCTATTTTATGCCTTTTCTTCCACATTTGTTAAGTAAATCACTGCAGTTGTTATAACACGGTTGTTAAGTGAATCTGGCTTCCTCATTGACTTTGCTTGTCAAAAGATCACAAAAGGTGATCACATGACCACGGGACATTGCGACCGTCATAAATATGAACCAGCTGTCAAGCATCTGAATGTAAATCCTGTGACCATGGGGATCCTGCAACGGTCATAAGTGTGAAAAATGGTTAGGCCACTTTTTTCAGTGCCATTTTAATTTCAAATGATCACTAAGTGAACTGTTGTAAGTTGAGGACTAATGTATTAGTTTCCATCAAAGGATGTATGCTGAAACATTAATTCAGGGATTCAGGTGGTGAGAAGATCAGACTAAGCTGATACCTTTCGTCCCCTTCTCTAGATATCCACCACCACTTTCTTGTATATCGTTTATCAGCACCCAATAATTGCTTTTTCCTGAATATTATTATCAAATAATAATTCATTTATTTGGTCCATCTTCCTGTGTTACTTTGCACTTAGCATTAGGCATTAATATTAATACCCTCAGAAAGACAAAAGAGCCATTCTGGCTTTTTAGAGAAATCGGAGTGTGTGTGTGTGTATGTTTAAATTGAGCAAGAATGCCGTCTCCAATTGAGAAGGGGACTTCATAACAAACTCCCCCAGGATTACTCCTTAGCAGCTGCTTTAATATCTAGATTAATGGTGATACCAAGTGTATCGTTTCTCCCAGTTTCACAGGAAGGGCACTTACCCCAGAGTGCTTGCCCTGTTGAACAGAAAGTATACTCCTTCACAAACACAGAAACAAATGGCAATTTCACACAGCTATCACCTGTCCCCAAACCCTCAGAGCCATTCTCACAAAAGCCCACAATTTTATTGACTGCAGCCACTGTGGAGCCAGAGATGACACTTGCTCCCTCCAGCTCACCTACAACAGAAGGCAATAATTGCCTCTGGCCAACAAGCACTGCATCCTGGGTTTGATTTGCCTGTGTGAATTTCTTGTGTCTATTCACAAGAAAAGAAAAGGAGATCAATGGAGATGCAGGCACTGGGGAGAGCCTCAGCCAATTCGGGATGCTGCCTGCTTCAAAGGTGGCAGAGGTCAGTATCTTGAAAAATTGAAAATTGAGTGTCCCAAGAAGATGTCAATACAAAGATGCAGTGATGATCCAGGAGTAGCGCTACATTCTGGAAATACCTAGACTCACACCATGAAATGTAGATAGCGCTCACTTACTGACTGCACTTGGGAATGACAACTCTGTTGCTAAGCAACATGGTCCCTAAGTGAAATATCATGTGACTTACAACAGTTCCAGCTGCAGTCATTAAGCAAATCACCATGGGTTGTTAAACACAACATCACGTGACCATAACTTGCAACCTCCTGGTGGTTTCCCCACTGACTTTTTCTTGTCAGGAGCTGACTGTGAAGGTCACAATTTTTTATTTTATTTAATTTAATTTTATTATTTTATTTTATTATTTTTTTATAAAATGTATTGGCCGCCTGTCTTACCTCAGGGTAACTCTTACAATCATAAAAAATTAAAACTGTACAAAGATAAAAACATAAAAAATAATAAAATAAAATAAATAATAAAATAAAATAAAATAAAATAAATAATAAAATAAAATAAAATAAATAATAAAATAAAATAAATAATAAAATAAAATAAATAATAAAATAAAATAAATAATAAAATAAAATAAATAATAAAATAAAATAAATAATAAAATAAAATAAATAATAAAATATAAAATAAAATAAAAGGCGGTCAGGTGACTGGGAGGCTGTGGCTGTCATAAATGTGTGCCAAATTGTCAAAGGGCTCAAATCAGAATCATGTGACTCTGGGATGCCACTTCAAAAACCAGTTGTAAGTCTCTCTCTTCAGCACCGCGGCAACTTCGAACTTTGAACAAGCGGTTGGTGAAAAAAGAACTCTCTGTAAAGGAAAGGCTCTTCATTTCAAAAGCCTCTCCAATGCAATCTAATAAAAAGTCGTATCAAATTTCTACAAATCTAAGAATATGTGGAACCAAAATGGTTGTGATGATCAGAAGCTCCTTTACAAAAACACTGTTATCGTATTAATGTGAAAATCACTTTTTTTGTCTAATCCAGACTGCTTACCTTTATCTCTGTGTTAGAGTCTCGCTGACTGCCTTGCTCAACCCGCTTCTCTTCCTTATTGGCAATCATCTCTCCAGCTTCTTTTACAGATGGAAATGAATTTGCACTTGAAGCCCAGTGATAGCTCTTGATCTTCTGCCCCTTGCAAGCTGCTGTGGTTGGCAATGAGTCCGTACTAGTGTTCCCTCTTTCCCCATTTACCAAACTGCTATCAACTGCATCACAGTCATTTTGAATGTTTCTGCAGGCACGGTAGGCAGACCCCTTGTCTTGGCAGTCCCACTGATTCTGTGCTATTATGCCATTGGCTGTGTGATTCTGTACATCCTGAGACCAATCTCTACTGTTTCCCTGCTCGTGTAGGGGATGCTGGGTGAGGAATTTTGGCTGAGGTGATGGCACTGGTCCATACTTTCCTTGAGGTTTACCAACATTTAAAACAGAAGAGTCTTTCTTCAGTTCATTGGAAAAGGATGTGCTAAAAAGAATAAAATACAGAAACTGAATCCTGATGTATATGTGCAAAATTAGTATTAAAAACTAAAACAATGTACGAATCAAGTAACCATCTAGGAGAAAACCACACCTCTCCAAAACTGTCAGAGCAAGCTGTTGTATATAAACAAGAAGCAAACTCCATACTCACTTGCACTGATGAAGTTACCTAGTTAGGTAATGAAACATCTGTAAGCAAACAACCAAGCACCAAGGACTCCACAGTATAAAAAGCCACTGTGAGATAGAGACTCACTCATAACACTAATCTTATTAAAGATTAAAAAGGAGACAAGACTGAGATTGTAATTAGATGGATGTGAGGAAAACCTGTTTTGTATTTACTTGCAGGCCTGGCCTTCTCTGCAGGTTATCTGTCTGCATGTCTGTCTATTATCTGTCTGTCTGTCTATACATACATACATTCCCCTTTTTTGCTGGAGATTGGAGAAAGGGTTGAGAACCTGCTATTATTAATGAAAGAGGTCTGGCTTGGATCTTCTGACTACTCTACCCTTCCTGCTATATAAAACTTGCTACTTTTTAATACTTGAAAACTTTCTTGACCTAAGGAGCAAAAAGAAGAAAAAAAGAAATCTATGAAAAACAACATATTACAAGCATATCCTAACTTAAATATTTTGTTTGCGGCTAGAGGTATTGAACCACTTGAAGATATTTATGGCATTGAAGAAAGACTTCCTGTGTCAGGAATAGCTGCTGTTGTGCCACTTGCCCTCTGGAATGAGATTCCCCCCTGAAATGGTGTGACTTCTATCCCACTGATGTTCCATAAAGACTTGAAGACCTGTTTGTACTCCCAAGGTCTGAGGTGAGACCAACGGGCCCCTTGTTCAGTGTGTTTTTATTTTTGTTTTCTGCTTGTTTAATGTGCTCAGATTCCACGTTATTTTATTTATTTATTTATTTATTTATTTGATTTGTATCCCGCCCTTCTCCTCACCGGACTCAGGGCGGCTGACAGCCTTATAAAACAACATTACAACAAATATCAATATTAAAACCAGATTAAAAGAAAATATTTGTAAAGGCCTAGTCGTTAAAATTACCCTTAAAAACCCCACTAAAATTCCCTAGGCCAATCCCGNNNAGAGAGGATAAGCAGGATGACTCTGTGGTGGAAGGCAGGAATAATGAATGCAAGACTTCGACAGGTCAAATGGCAGAGAGAGATTTAATAGGCTGAGAAGGAAGTATAATAAAAAATGGTGAAAGTAGTTAGCGCTCAGACTATGGTCAATAGGAGAGCAGTTCACCAAGGGATTTTTTATCACAGTGGCTTGTTTCTTTTTAGCTCTTTTATATATATCTTTCCTCTTCCTTGTGTTAAATGTTTTCTTCTTTGTAACCTAAGATGTGATGCTTTTAACCAAGCACCAATTCATGGGACCCAAATATTCCAAGGTCACTAAAGTGGCACAATTTTCTGCCTTTTTTCCAGCAGTAGATTAAAGAAAACCAAAAGTTAATCTTCATGTGCGTTTAATAGAAAGGCAGAAATATCATATTGAAACTGGGGTGGGGGGATCTTGTTCTCTCTCCTATGAAACAGACTGCTTGTAAAATAAAATAGGGGAGTCCTGCATAGATTAGTTTGAGCTCTTGATCAAAAGGAGTTTATTAATCTAATAAATCAAATAAATGAACATAAGTTTTTCTTAAAAATAATGTTCCCCCCATCAACAATTGCTTTTCTAAGAAGAGGTATAATGTTTACTCATCTAAGGTCTTTGCAGTAATGTTCCAGACCTATCCTCCCCAAATTTCTAAAACAACTAAATTGCAAATTTATACAGATTCTTCTTCTAGTCAATACACAGTTCCATCACCATAACAAATAGCATAAATGGCAAAACAAAATGTCTAATAATTACACCTCTTTTACATAGAAAAAGAAATCAGAAAAATGCAATCTGGGCATTTTATTTCTATTTTTTCATACATCTCAAGACGTGCACACTTATGTACATGTGCTTTGCCTATTAAAAATACTAACTAATATTGATGTTAAATGAAGCTATTCAGTTCACATACTACTGGCACTAATTTTATATATTTTAATTCTTTCCCCCAAATATAGTATTCTTTATGTTGGATTTTTATCTGAAATATACCACAGAACATTGTAAGCATACAAACAAATATAGGAAACTCTTACACAGAGTCCAGCTACTTGTTCATTTAAACCAGCACTATTTACTGTAGCTATATCAATCAATAATGCTAAAACAGATGATTATTATTTGTGTAATTCTCAAATTGATTAAACTATGGTCTATTTTGCAAAAAGCCATGATTTATGGATTACAAATTCCAACTTATTTATTCCTTTATTACAATATCTATATTAGGCGTGTCCAATCCACAGCTCATGGGCTACATGTGGCCCTGGACAGTTAGTAATACAGCCCCACAAGATAATAAAAATATTAAAACATAATGGAATTTGTTCATTTGTTATTTTTACATATTAACTACATTATATAGTTAATGTATTATACAGCCCAAGACAATTCCTCTTCACTCAATGTGGCCAGGCAAGCCAAAAGGTTGGACAACCATGATTTATATAGTGTCCTCAACCACCAGACCTGGACATTTAAAACTCCATGAAACCACCCCATAAAATTCCAAAATAAAACAAGGGAAAAAACAACAATTATAAAATCCTCAGATCCCAGATACCAGCAAAAACCTACCTTTTCCATCTTCCTGAAGACAATGTGGCACCACTGTGGCTTCTAAGGGCATTTCCATAATAAGGGGGAAACCACATAATCATTGTTTTAACAACATGGCTATGTTTGGACTATGATGTGTTTTTTTTTCTGCTAGCTTCATAGAGTGTACTAAGCCATTGTTTATAATCCACATGTTAAGTTCAGACATGCTGAGCCAAAATTAGAGCTACCATATCTGCATTGCAAAAATCATGATGATCATGCAAAGGAAAAAAAAACCTGGAGAAAATTATATATATATTTTTTGCTGCCTTCTAATATTAAATCTAGATATTTTTCAGTCCAGATGTAATACCAAAACCAAGCCAAAAATTTAGCATGATGTATGAGCTGAGTTGTAATTTTGGCTTAATCCTCCTTAATTTTGCTCGCTATGAAAAAGACAGGAGACAAAAGCAATTGGTTTCCAATCTAGCTCTCTCATACAATCTGCCAGGCAACAGGAGTGTCTCTCTCTCTCTCTTCTATTCTTCTCTCAGCAGCACAATCCCACAATAGTCATCTATCTTTGCAGATAACTAAACAGAACAAAAGGAGATTTAAAGAAATCGCAACAGCTCGGACAGCAAGACTGTATGTTCAAAGCCCTATTTTAACTTTAGTGAAACGTGCTGATTTGTTCATCACCCAAAATGCAGTGAAGACTATTTAAGTTGAGATGGTGTTGGTTTTATTTAGTGCTGCCTCTTTCTGGAACACTCTAATTTATCAGTGCAAAGTATTTATCACTTTCCTCAAAGCAACCATTCCCTCCTGCAAGACATTCCTCTACCATGTGCACCCTCTATCTTTGCTTCTCCCTAGGATAATTTTTATGGGACCCAACAACTGGACTAATTTACTTCACCAGACTCCAAATATTTAATGGAGTTCAATCATCCCCAACTCCCTATTGCAATGGTGCCCTTTTATTACCTTTATTAAAAATGGTTAATCTGCAACTGCCAGCTCATTTGCATGAGGACTCCTTATCTTCTATTTCCCAGTCACCTGCATCTTAGGTCACTCAGCAGATAAGACCCACAAACCAAGGGAAAAAATTCTAGAATGAAAAGACAACAAATTTTTGTTCTGGAATGAAGCTAACCCAATATGGAGGTCCCAGAAGATTTATGTATAGATGTCTAATGTTTTATCATTCAATGCAAATTATGAACTTCCTATAAAAACATTTAACTATAGAACCTACATAATGTCTTTCTATAATAAGTTGGCAACTATAAGTTTGGATAAGAGAGATGCTAAATCTAGATAATATAAGCAGCAGGAGGCTTCAGTCAAGAAGAAGTGGGGATATTACAAGAAAGAGCTGGACCATTTGCTACCAAGACTTTGTCCACTTTTAGGATATCAAGAAAGTCACTTCAGTCAAAGGCCACCTGGTATTTGTAAATTAACTCTGAAGTATTTATTTGGAGCCACCTATTCTTGTCAAGGCAAAAGATTTTATCCAACTTCTTTTTGCACTGCGATCAAGAGGATGTTTCTCCTTAGAAAAGGCACAGGTGAGCCTTCTAAGTTTGAAAAGGAACAAAGAAAGACAAACACAGCCATCATGAAATTCTGCTACTTTAGATGATAATATTAAATATGCTTTTTGAAGTAAGAATCTCATTATGACCAGATCCTTTTTCCTGAATTGGACAAAAGAAAAAAATTATATTCCAGAATGAATAAGAGGAATAATGTTGAACTTGTGTCATGATTTAAGAGAAAAGCATGGATGTTAGCAATCTGTTGGGATGGAATGGTGGATGCAAACAAGCAATACAGGAAGTCCTCAACTTACAACAGTTCATTTAGTGAACGTTCAAAGTTACAACTGAAAGTGACTTGTGACCATTTTTCATACTTAGGACCGTTGCAGCATCCCCAGGGTCATGTGATTTATATTCGGATGCTTGACAACTGGTTCACATTTATGATGGTAGCAATGTCCTGGGGTCATGTGATCCCCTTTTGTAAACTTCTGGCAAGCAAAGTCAATGGGGAAGCCAGATTCACTTAACCACAATGTTACTAATTTAACAACTGCAGTGATTCAGTTAACAAATGTGGCAAGAAAAATCATAAAATGGGCCAAAACTCACTTAACAAATTTCTCACTTAGCAACATAAATATTGGTCGTAAGTCGAGGCCTACCTGTATTAGCTTAATGTTTAGAACAGATAAGAACTCTTGAAAAATAAAGGATAACAAATTCTAAAACCTCAAACAAAAGCCCAAGTTCTTTTAAGTGAAGAATCATGGCATTGCCTTATACAGTACTGAAAATGTTAACAGGGAAAAAGGAGATTTGCAGCAATATTGTACTAATTTGGTAACATTACTAAAATTAACAGAGCTTTTCATGTTTTTGCTGTCAAAAGTCTGCATGAACACAGACCTAAGCCCAGGTTAGAAATCATGAGTGGGCCGGGACCTCATTTGACCCTCATCCTCATTGCATAAGTCTAGTAACGGCAATTAATTCAGATTTCTATCCAAATGAAATCTGTCCCAGCCTGCTGCACACTGAGGGGGAGAGAAAGTAAAAAGAGATGTGATAATGAGTAAGAGAGGAAATGTAGGCGGTTATAAAAAGAAAGAAATTGGGTGATCCTCTCTATTTCTTACATTTACTCATTTTCCACTCCCTAAAATTAATCCCACCTGAAGGCAGCTTTAAAAAGAAATCAGTTATTATCTCTGCTTAAGTTCTGATCATTGTATGTAAGCACACACACTCCTGTGTCATGAGAATATTCGTTTTCATTTCCAGCTAAAATTGATCCGGTCCAATCAATAATGCATCATCATTCAAATTGTGTAATTTAGTAGATCAACCATAGCAACTGTCTGTACTTGCCATAAAAAATGGAACATGTTTTTCCTCTTCATTTATTATCATCACATATGCTCATTTCAATCTGCAACCTTTGAATAAAATGAAATGTGTTTACCTGCCTCCTTCAAAATGACTGATGAGATCAGACACTTTACTAGATTTTTCTTTCGAGACACAAGAAGAGATAGGTGTAATTTCCTCCATTCTTGGCTTCGTGGTATACAAAGCTTTAGACTTAGGGGTTTGGTGGGTAATGGATGACTGTGAATTCTGCAGATGTAATGGCTTTGGAGGCACTGCAAAGAAAAAGCAACACTACTTTTCATATTCGTAGGAATTTCACACACCAGTGCTATTCAAAGCAGTGACTTTAAAACTTGTCTTCTTCAATGTGATGCCCTCAAAATCCTTTGAAGTACCACACTAATAGTCTTCAAGTCAAGAGTGCCAAGAGTTAATTTACAAAATATTCAAGGCAGGTTTTTTCATTATTATAGATCCATAACTGATGTTCTAATAATTTAGAACTTAACATTATATCGGTCAACATTATGCCCTGCTGAAGGATGTTTCTTGGATTACATAAAGGTAGATTTATTAATTCATTGAAAGAACAATTCAGTAGAGAGCAATGCCTACTCTTATTACTAACTTGCATACACTAATATGTCTTGTGAGTGTGCTTTGGCTTATTTTTTTTACATCCTAGATATCTAAAAAGGCAAAGATGTACTTGCAATCTAGCGCTTAGTCGTTCATTCTACCAAATCCACCCCAAAGACCATGAACCCAAGTTATTTTCATTATTATCCAGAAATCAATAAGATAGTTACGGAATATGAATTTAACCAACTCATTCTGAGCATCCCAACTTTGCTTTCTAGAAATGACACTGTAATCACCTTGAAAACACTTAAGATTTTTCTTAGATGTCTCAATGGTCAATAATTTTCTCTTATCTGAAAGTGTTGCATATTAAAGCTCTGTAAAGCAGCATATAATCAAAGGGGAAGCATCTTATCAGATGTTAGTTTTCTTGTGTCAAATGTTCAAAAATATAAAATAATACAGAACCTTTGTTTAATGACTGCCTCATTTAGCAACCATTTGCAGTTACAGTAGTGATGAAGAAAGCTAACTTTATGACAGGTCTATAAAGCAAAGGAAAGCTGAAAAAAATATTGTAAGCCCAGTCATGGTTTCAACTAACAACCACTTTGCTTAACAACCAAGTTGCTGGTCCTAATTGTGGTTACTAAACTAGGACTACCTATATGGGCTATTCAAAAATAATTCATCCAATTTCAAAGCTATTTAGGCCCAGTTTCAACTTGCTCCCTACATGATTTCATACAACCTGGCTAGAAAGACAGGGAGATGTAATGTCTTCCAAAAGAGATTTAGAACAGGGAAATTACATTGACTACATTATTTACTATTTAGTGTATGGCCTGCCAGCAATTGCTGCTACATCTACTACTAGATAGTACTACATCTACTATTACAGGGCTTTTCAACCTTTTCACCTATTGTACCACTTTTAGGATATGGCAACATCCGAGTACCACCAGTCGCCTAGCAAGGTGTCAAAAACTTGATGACCAAAAAAAAAAAGGAAAAAAGTGATAAAGTACAGGTAGTCCTCGACTTATAACAGTTCGCTTAGTGACTGTTCCAAGTTACAGTGGCACTGAAAAAGTGCCCCCCAAGGCACAGCCGAGCAAGACACCTGCCTGCCCACCCGGCGGCGCTCTTCCTCCTGTCCGAGGTTTTCATTGTTGTGAGCATTTCTGTTGAGGATTGGCAGTGGGGGTGGGGTGGGGGGTGTTTGGTTTTTATTCCCCCCTTCTGCTGGGTGGTTGCAGCAGGTTTTGGTCACTTCACATGACCCTGGGACACTGTGACCGTCATAAATATGAATCAGTTGCCAAGCATCTGAATGTAAATCACAAGACCCTGGAGATGCTCCAACATTCCAGCTGTCTGCGCTTCTTCGGGGCTCAGCAGAAGCGCCAGAATCAGTGCTGCTTTCCAGCTGTCGGCATTTTTTCAGGGCTCAGCAGAAGCACCAGGATCAGCGCCGAGCTCCAGCTGGAGCCTGTCGCTGATCCTGTCGCTTCCACTGAGCCCTGACAGTCCTGAAGAAGCGCCGATCAGCTGGAAAGCGGCACTGATCCTGGGGCTTCCGCTGAGTCCTGACAGTCCTGCAGCTCCAGCCATCTCTCGCTCAGGCTTGTGCAGTGCTGCCACCGGTTCAGCTCATTCCCCTCCCACGCTACCATTTTTTTAGGATGGTCGCGTACCACCTGCCAGGTGCCAATGTACCACAGGTGGTACCCGTACCACTGGTTGAAAAGCCCTGTACTATTATATCTATTACAGATATAGGCTTATGCAAGAAAAATATACATACTTAAAGACTGGTCTGGTGATGTGCACTATTTGATTCTTTCTCCATCTAGAAACACAATCTACTTCTAATGCCACATTAAATATCAACTACAGAATATGTGAGTAAACTTTTAACACTGCCAACATGAGGGAACAATTGCAGGTTAAATATGCTTTATCAATCCAGCAGTTAATGAGAATGGAGAAGCTCCAAACCTCCTTTTATCAGATTTATCAAATTAGGTGAAAGGGTTGTAGATGTCATGGCTACCAACCAAATGGATCTCCAAAAGCTGCAGTTTCCATATAGTTAGGCAGATTATATAACTGCAGAAAAGAAGCTAGTAAAGACTTTACAGTGCTGGTAGCTACTACTGCTACCCCCATGCCACCAACAAAGATTAAGGACTTTAATTCAGCTGTGGGCCATTGCTGCAGTACTTGATCATTCTAACACATGAAGTTGTCTCAAACAAAATTATCTACAAGCCAGCAAATCTGCTCCACACAACCAGAAACACATAGAGATTTATAAATCAATTATTCCAGGATGTAAAATACTGCACACAACAGAGTAAAATCAATTGTAACAACAAAATAAAAGCAGCATTTCAACTGATCCTCTTCTGTAATAAACTCAGAGAGGAAAAAGCAAGGAAATTGTCAGGCACGAACAACCAGACTCAACACATGTAGAGTTCAAGCTAACTACTTTATTGTTGTTGTTAGTTGCGAAGTTGTGTCCAACCCATTGCGACCCCATGGACATTCCTCCAGGCCTTCCTGTTCTCTACCATCTTCTGGAGTCCATTTAAGCTAACGCCTACTGCTTCAGTGACTCCATTCAGCCACCTCATTCTCTATCGTCCCCTTCTTCTATTGCTCTCAATCTTTCCCAGCATTAGGCTCTTCTCCAGTGAGTCCTTCCTTCTCATTAGGTGGCCAAAGTACTTGAATTTCAACTTCAGGATCTGGCCTTCTAAAGAGTAGTCAGGGTTGATCTCTGCCAACAAAAGTACATATCGTCACGGCCATTGTTTTTCCAGTTGCAATGTATGGCATTGAAAGTTGGACCATAAGAAAGGCTGAGCACAAAAGAATTGAGGCCTTTGAACTATGGTGCTGGAGAAGACGAGTCCCCTGGACTGCAAGACGATCAAACCGGTCAGTCCTAGAGGAGATCAACTATTTTATTATGTTCTGCCTATTGATACAGAAATTTCCCGAGACTGACAACCTTCTCTTGGGAACAAATAGATAATGATCCAGGAACTTGGGGGCAGAAGTGGGTCGGTCTTAGCCCTTTCACGATGGCACAGTGACTCCAGGCTAACTTCATGTTTATACTCTCTTCTCTCCCTGGTGATTCTAGGATAATTTGCTGCAGGACAACTCGTCATGGGACACGATGGTGGTGGAATAGAATCATTAAAGAAAGAATATCAAAGGAGGGACAAAATGAAATGTGAATGACAAAAATTAAAGTATTTTTAATATTTTAAATAATTAACTCAAATTGTCAAATTGTCCCGCAGCAAGTTGGCCACGATGAATTGGCTGTGGTGAGTTTACTGCAGCAAACTGTCCCATTCTGCTGCCAGGTTGGGTGCTTCCCAACAGAAATGATGGGATCATACCTGGAAGGGCCATTTTCACAATTACTCTATTTTTATTGAAAGTGCCATAACAACTGACTATACAGGTAGTCCTTTATTTTTACGACCGGTTGCTTAGTGGTCATATGACTGTAATATACCATGGGGGGTTTTTCCCCACAGAAACTGGTGTTTATTTCCAGTTTCTGGCTAAAAACGCCCCACAGCAAACAATAGCATTCGCTTAACACCGCAGAAAAGGTGATAAAATTGGGCTTAATCATGTGATGACTCACTTTATGATTAAGATTTACAAATGAAATTGTGGACTCAATTACAGCCACAAGTCGAGGACCAACCTCAACTTTCTAAACTTTCCTCTAGAACAGGTCGGCAGATCTAGACGAACGAACAACAGACAATTGTTGAAAAAGTGAATATACAACTGATGATAAACCTTCTGAAGGGCAAGGGGAGAAACTGAGACCAATCTGCAAAGCAAAAGAAGAGCACAAAATTGTCCCAAGGAAAAGGAAGAAGTAGCTTAAATGAATTGACGATCGTATTTAAAATCATAAGGCAAATATCAGATAGCTGCCTCCTTCGATAAAAAAAATGCCAGAAGTACTAGGCTGAATAAGTGGAAAAAGTAGTGAATGTTTAAAGATTCACTTCCTTGCCAAGAAACACGCAGCCCTGCAACCGGATTACTGTGCCGGAAACTATAATGATGGTGAAAGCAAAGAAAAAACTGCCAGTTTGGGAAGACCAGTGTTTCTCACATAAAACTGAACAAGTACCACCTACACTAAATGGAGCCCAGCTGTGATGTTCCCTGCTCCTAGTGTGTCTGCCTGGTTAGAGAGTATGATTTAGACTAAAATGACAAAGCTCCAATAATCAATTATGAGGAAAAACAAAGCTCACGTGTGTTCTTACTTATGTGTCACTGCATACTAAACAGCACCAGCATTTTATTTGGAAATAACTGGGGACAATAAAGGAATACTATCAGTTAACCTCTATGCAAAAACAAGCATTAGTGTCATTGTTCCACAAAAGCTCCTTCCGCTCTAAAACAGATTTCATCCTCATTAGTCAAGCATTATTATTTCCTCTATTTCCCATACTTTACAATACAGGTAGTCCTTGACTTCCAATAGTTTATTTAGTGATCGTTCAAAGTTACAACGACACTGAAAAAAAGTGATTTATGACCGTTTTTCACATGACTGCTGCAGCATCCCCACGGTCATGTGATCAAAATTCAGATGTTTGGCAACTGGTTCAAACTGATGACGGCTACAGGC